AGCTCGGAGCCGGCGAGCGGCCGCGTCCCCGAGTCTCCCCGGAAACTGCCGAAAACTGCCGAGAGGCCGCGGCCGGGAAGAGCCCGCAGCGCCCGGCAGCTTCTCTAGACGCCGGAATCCTGGAGCCTGTCCGGAAAGCGCCGACGATTTCCGAGCGCCCCCTGCCGAAGGTTACTGACAACTGTACACAAAGGCTCTAGTGTCGCGAAGTTTCTTAGCTACTGTGGTGGCCCTGGCTTCCTTTTTCCCCTAAAAATGCACCCCCCACCCCCACCTCCCCTCCGCCCTTAGAGCTTCACGTTGTTTCTATCACCATCAGCGCCCGCGCTGAGATTCGGCCTCGTCGGCCCCTAGTACCCTAGAAGCAAGGAAAGAAGTAAAAGAAAGTTAGAAGTGACCTAACAGCATTTTATTACGTAGCAAAACACCCACAAGAAATGGCTTTTCAAAGAGAAAGCAGGCTGCAAAGCGACCTGTACAGCCACACGTTTTGGGACAAAAAATGAAGGGAAAAGTGCAACTTAAGTGGAGGGATTGGGCTGGTTTTTTGTGTTTCTTCTCTCACTTTTGTGCTTTTCAACTTTTGAACGTGGTTTTATGCGGTGGGGAGAGGGCAGAAAAACGAACGCGTTGTGGGAAATAATCGCTTGCTGAAAGAGTTCCAAGCTAGGTATGACGGATTGACAAGAAATTTCAGAATGTCCTCTTCTCGTTTATCCTCTAAGTAATTGGAAAGTTGAGGGGAAAGTGTTTAAAAGTAATTAATGCTGAAACCGAGGTTCAGCCCTTAGCTGCAAGCTTGGAAAAAGGAAAGGTGCTACAGAGAATGCCAAGCAAATGTGACCCCCCCTTTTACATGTTGAAACTGAAAGGCACTGTGTATTCCAGCCCCCTGGTTGTTCAGATTAAGAACCAGCTGATCACAAAGAAGCTGAAATCTAAGGCCACACAGCTAATAGCAAAACCAAATTTACTGTGCTGGTATTATTTTTCCTTTTAAATCATGTGTGTAGGTAGCTCCATGTTCCCATGTTGTGTGTCATGAACAGGCGGGCCTGTATTGTTACATCATAGAGCATGTGCTAAGGTCTGGTTCCTCAGCTAAAGTGGCAGCTCTCTGAGGGCAGAGACTGAGTGTCTAGCGAGTGGGTGTTATTTCCAGAGGTACCATATCGGTTGCCTAGCCAACCCATTACATCATCACTGCCACAAGCTTAGCATCACAAAGGCCATTGAGTGGTATTGCCATGGCAAAAAGCCCGTCGCTATGGCAACGAGTGAGGAAGAGGTGAATGCCCAAACCTTTTCACTTGAAACCTTGCTTTAAACATATACCACGGAACCAGGACACAGGAAATTTCCGTTGACCTGGTCACACAGAACTTCCCTGTGCTTCGAACACTGACCTAGGGACCGGCTCCCTTTGGAATCATGTCAGATGCCTGAGGCCTGAGAGAACAACTGTTGGAGAATGAACTACTGTACTGCCAAACTTTACACTAGAATTTGATCCTAAAATTAGAAAAGCCTGACACATAAATACATGGAGAGAATGGGTAAACGATACATCTATAATCCTATCAGCACTAAGGCAAGGCCATCAGGAAATACAACATACGTCAACTTCTCAAGGACCGCATATGCCATAGCTACAGGAAATGAGGTTCGGGGGGACTCTAAGTGTCTGTGAAGCTTTCTTCTGAGGCTAGCTAGTCCTCTCCAAGAGGTTATCCTATTAAACAAGTATCGGGGAAAGTCCTGCTAATTCCTTGTCATCTTAAATGGAAGTTTCCTCTGAAATTTAGGTTTGTACCATGTCCTGGAAGGGATTTGCGTTGTGAGCCCCAGAGCAAAGAAATATTTCTGTGGCTGAAGAAAAAACACATAGTCGAAGCAAAAGCCACATCTTATTGCCAAAAAATGTGTTGATTTTCCTCCTCTCCCTTCCTCTGCCACTCACAACGCTGCTTTGTTTGAATAACAGTCGGTGCCAAATTAAACCAGAGGCTGACAAGGAATTTAATATTCCCATGGCAACAACACCTGGCACCTCTGCCCGGCTACAACACACACACACACACACACACACACACACACACACACACACACACACCCCGCCGCCATGCCAACAAACTCAGCTCAAGTTCAAATTTAGGCCTGGGTTTGGGTCCCAGACCAAAGGGGCATCTAATGACATCTAAGGGAGTGTAAGAAGTAATTCTCTAGGTGAGAAGATAAATTTATTCTTTAAAGTATTAATAATGACTGTAACACTGGCCCTTGACCGTGTACCAACCACAGTTGCTAAGCGCTCAACACGTGTCACATCATGCACACATCACAAAAGTTGTTATAGTGATTGTCATTGTGATGTCAAGATTACTGCTGGCAGCAAACAGGTCTGGAGAGGCTAAGTACCTCGCTTAGGACTGAGCCCTGCCAACTTCTGTTTCCCTAGTGAGAATCGGGGCCCCTCTTTGATGAGACATGGCTGGCATTGTACAAACAGCTGTCCCGGCTGCGAATAACCCTACCAAGGGCCGCTGTGCCCATTTAGCCATGACCGAGGGCTCTTTGGAGCCCCTGAAGTACAAGAGCCTCACTCGTTTCCCCAGTTTTGCCTTGGAGTTGGAGTTTTTTGTTCAGTTTTATTTTCGCCTTCACTCCAATAGCCCAAACACCTATAAAGTTACCCTGCCTGTCCCAGGGTGATATGTAGAGTTCAATACTTTTTCTGGTTCAACCTCTTCATTTCTCCCCCTTTTTGATTACAAAAACACATATCTGATACTGAAAATGTAGCAAACAAGGAAAATATTTCCTTAACTGTTGTTGCTGCTTGTTTTACATTAAATATTTAGTAGGAACGTTTGTCCTTTCCCTGTTAATTTCCTGTAACCTTGGAGATTAGGTTTACTTGTTTTTCTTTGGCATTTAAACTATGCTTCCCCCAGCAAATGATACCAACTTATTTCCTACTGCTTTCCCAACATTAAATTTCTGTTCCACAATAGACACAGTATGATTATCTTCCCAAGAAAAAAGATGTTCCCTATTCCCTTCCCACCTTCCAAATTCGCTCAGAATTTCTGCCCCCTACTTTAAGTACTTAAGGTTCAACTCAACCCCAACTCAAAGAGGCCATCCTTCCTCCACCACCCAATACAACCCCCATCCCCCCCACTCAAACAC